TAATTGGTTCAAGATATTTTAGTTCTTTCTTCTCCATGTGGATATCCACTTTTCCTAACACCATTAACTGAAAAAAGGCCATTAGTTGAAAAGCATATTGTTTTTTTTCCACGACAAAAAAAAAATTTGGTTTTAAATGCATTCTTTTTTCATGGTTCTCTATTTGTTTGTCTTAATATGTTCTCCTTCCCTTTCTTCTTCTTCTGTCTTCTCCTTATCCTCCTTATTGATTTTATTTTGCCAAGCAGAACATACAGCAGTGAAAATTTAACATAGACTTGATAATCCTTATATATCTAACTGCCGTGTGTCTTCTCAATAACTGGAACAAATGACAGGGTATTATTCTTCATGAGCTTTTTTATACTATCGATTAGAACTAAGTTTACAAGGAATTTTTAATCACCACATTTATTCAGAAGAAGCAGTACATCTCTGTCTCCTCCAATGCCCATTGACAGCTTATACTCATAATCCTTTAACTGTGCTTTATGTGAAGAAAATCATCCTACCATGTGCTATTTGATTTTTTTTCCTTAGTTTAAAAAATTACTGCAGGGAACATCAACTGTTTATAAACAATATACATTTACTTGTAGTCCATTTTGGCTCATATTATTTGCCTAATTTCTTTCTAGTTTTTAGGTTATGTTTTACCATTTCCTTAATACACACACACACACACATATTCATTATATATGCTATCAGTTATATGTACATACATATCAGTTATATGTACATTTACATATGTGAATTGATACATAATGAATTAAAATGAGGATGGAAGGGAAATGAAGGTTCAGGTTGGATCTGTATAACACAAATATTTTTTTAAAAATACAACAAATAAACAATGTTCACCTTAGATATTTAGTTTCCTTACTAATCAAATATTTTTCTCACTTTCTCCTGGCTCTTTTGTCTATTTCCATATTCTCCTGCCTCCCTATACTCATCTTTCTCTCTACCCCTTTTACAAAACTCCTAGCTTTCTCTCTCATTCACTCATTTAACAGGATCATGAAAGCATGAAGCCCTGAGTTCAAAACCCCAGTCCCACCAAAAACAACAACAAAAAAGCCCAGGATCATTAACTCTTTTCCAGTTTCTGCTTTCTTACTGTCACTGGTTCCTTCAACATTATTTCCTCCCCTATGACCTTCTCTATCTGTGGTCATTTTCATTTCTTTTTTGTGAGTAAAATGGGAGAGTTTACTGAGAGAAAAAAATGAAAGAGTAGAGCACCCAAAGCTGGAAGGGGTCTGAAGAGAGGGTACCCTCTGTGTTCAACTTCCATACTGATTTCTGCTCTCTCCTTTGTCACCTCTCTCTTCTCCACCCTCCTTTGCTCCTCTGTTTCACTGCCCTTTGATACCTCTCCATCTACACCACCACTCCCTTTTCTCCTACTCATGTTACTTGCAGTTTTCTCCTTTGTTCTCTCTCAATCTCTCTGTTCCTTTGGTCTTTGTCTCACCTCTATCAAATCTCCATAATACTTATAACAAGCTTCCCCTTTCACACTTTTTTTTTCTAACTTCCCTTCTTCACCCCACTATAACATGTCCTCCAGAGTGCAGGAGGTCTGAGTCTTTGCCTTCTTACCATTTCACTTGCTAATACTGCTTTTTACTGCATTCTTTTTATCTATTTCCATTTTTCATGTTTATTTCCTAGTGTTTCTTCCCAAGCTTGTGTTTTCTCCTTTCTCTGCTTCTCTTGTGCTTCTTACTCTTCTTCCATCCAAGAAATACATATTTACCCACCTATATGATACTTCACTCATATTTTCCATCTCATTTTTCTCCCTGTTGGCTCTGTCATTTTCTCTGAGTCCTTTTGTTCCTCATACCTCTTCCTATTTCTTCCTTTTGGTTGGTCTGCAAATCCTGCGACTTTGTATTTCTTTCTCTAGCTTGACCTCTAGGCTCCCACCTCCTTCTCCTTCTTTCCACCTTTCTTATGTAAATCTCTCTCTACTCCCTCCCTCTTATATACACGTATTCCTCTTTCTTCTTGCTGAGTGGAACTTTCACAGCACACCTCCTGTTTTCTTCGTACTTTTGTCCCTTTGCTCATCATCTCCCTACTTTCTAGCTTACTTTGAAACTTTTTAAGATACAAATTTCTTAGCAAGTAGTCTCTTAATCTACAAAGTGGTAAGCGAAGTTCAAATATTTACAAAATTGATTGACAAGATCTTTTCCCTTTCTTTATTGTTGTGCTGGGCAGGGGTACATTGTGGCATTTACAAAAGTTCCTACAATATATCAAATATAGCATACTTGAATTCACCCCTGCATCATTCTTCTTTGTCTGCCCTCACCCCATTTCTGGAATAGTTTTCAACAGGTATCATTTTACCATTTACATATATGTGAACAAATGCAATAATACAGGAATAGGGAAAAGGAAGGAAACCTAAAACTTGAATGTGGTTGATGTGTTCACTGTAGAGGAGCAAATAATTTTAATCTGGCAGATGACACTAAGGGGACCAGGAAGTAGCAAAGAGGTCTGACAGAAATGAACCAATGTGGGTTGCACTACACAAGTGCATGGAAGCAATGCTAGGAATCTCTCTGTATAGCTATCTTTACCTTAAACTAGCAAAAATGCTATGTCTTTCTTATTATCTCCTATGTTTTCTCTTAAACGAATTTGGAGAACAAGAGGGCTGAACAGGTTCTGCCTTAAAGCAGGAGGTTGGGGGTGGGAGGTGGCCCAAACAATGTATACAAATATAAGTATATGTAAAAACAATAAAATAAAATAAAGAAAAAAAATTAGAGACTGTAAAACAAAACATTACCATAAAAAAAGATTGTTTTCATTTTAACAAACAAGTTTTATTTTACCTAAAGAAAAGGCAAATCAAGATGACACTTAGATTCCATATTATCCCAGTCAAAATAACTGTCATTATCACCAAGAAAACAATTAATAACAAATGTGAGAAAGGGACCTTCATACACTGGTGGTGGGGTGGTGGGAATGTAAACTAGTACAGCCACTATAGTAATGAGAATGCAGGATCCTCAAAAACTAAAACTAAAACTACCATTCTGTAACACTCTTGGGAATAGGTAAATCAGCATACAATAGAGAGATATGCACAAGCATGTTTATAACAGCCAAATACAAAATGGCCAAGCTATAGAATCAGCCATGGTGTTCATCAACTATTGACTAGATGAAAAAAATGTTATGCATATATACAATGTAGTATTATTCAGCCACAAAGAAAAATGATGTCACTTGCAAGAAAATTGATGAAACTGAGGCACATCAGGTTAAATGAGATAAGCCATGTTCAGAAAGACAACTATTTCATGTTTTCATTAATATGTAGAATCTAATCCAAAAAAATAATATGGTATGATTGTTAAGGGGAAATATTTTGGTGACAGGAGCCACCTGAAGTTGGAAAAAGTTTAATATGCATCTTGCACAATCCCCTATTTCTTGAATCTCTTTTTTTTATTTTTTGGAAGAGAACAGAGGAGTGAGATCTTTTGTGTAAGTGAAAGACCTTCTGCCTGTGGTTTTACCTGTGGTTTTACTGGGAGCAGGTGAAACTTGTTTGATGATCTCCTTAAAGGAAGATTCTCAAGAGGAAGGTGTGACTTGTTAAGATATCTTGCCTGAGAAGGAAAACCAGAGGAGGAGGAAGAAGGGATGGCTGGTTGTCAGATAAATTCATCCCAGGTCAGTGACCATGTTCACTCCCTCCTCCCCCAGAATACTGTATATTTAGAACTTGGAAATCTTCATTTTTCTACTTTTGATGTCCTTGCCTACTGAGATTATAGTAGAAACTACTCTCCATCCTGTCTTCCCCAGCTTCTTTTTGTCAGCACAAATTCTCCCCAGGAATTCAAGACCTACAATGATGAAAACATCTGTGGAACTAGAGATAGGGATGGAATCAGGTCCTTAAATATCATCGAAGAAGCCAACATGCAGATTGGCTGGGAATTCCATTGCCTATTTTGGAACAAGGCTTAGAAAAATGCACATTGAAACAACGGATTTCATTCCCTGAAATAGTTCATAAATCTACAAATATGTAGAAAAGGAAGAAGAATCCTATGGTCTTATTACATATGGGATTTGTAAATATTTAGGTGTGTTATAAATTACAGCATTGATACCTTTGTGCCTTGAACTTCACATAACATGGATGGTTATTTATAAATAAAAGCTATTGCTTAATTTTGTTCTGTGGTAATTTGGCCACTTATACCACAGCTTAGGTGATGTGCCTTCTGTGTTTGTTGTCACCTGTCATCAATTTATTCTTGGAAAATTGTTTCTGATTTCATTCACTTGGTGAATGTGCCCTGTGCCAGATTCCACAACAGGAGAGGTGGGTTTTTTTTTTCTTTAACATTAATAACTATCTTGAAGGGATTTACCTAGTGATGTGTGTAAACTATCAGACTAAATGCTGAAACTCAACTTTTCTATTAATTTATTTTCAGTGTTATCATCCAGTGGAAAAGGAATGATCTCACCTTCATTTGCTTGAGAAAACCACCTTTTCCAGTAGGATTCTGATACAGACATGTGTTCTGCAGATTTTCACTTTATTTTACACTGATGTCACATATGCTACCTTGACTACTTCATTTTATTTCAGAAAAAGTATGACTCATATAAATAATATTTTGTATGTAAAGTATTTATCTAATATATACTTAATTGTACACATAATGAATACAAGATTTGAAAAACCAGAAGTAATATCCTATATTCACTTGTATCATTTTTTTGTTTATCTGTTCAATGTATATAAAAAACTCTCATCATATACAAATGTAAATTAAGGCAGCATTTGATATATTCAATGCACTTAAGACCAAGCTGTATATCATTTTGATGCACAGCTATTAGTTTTTATATACACACATATATACAGTATGAACATTATTGAACAAAATGTTGTTGCTGCTTTCTCATTTTCATTATGTCCCTCAGTAAGGACACTTCATCTGAACATGGTGCAGGTATTTTTTTGTGCATGTGGCCTTCTTATTCTTCTTAGACAAATTGTAGATCATATAGACTAGAAAAAACCCCAGGGTCCTCAATATAATGTTTGTTTGACAAAGTATTACAATAAAATAATTTCATAGATTTTTTTGGGTTTTTATGTATTTATATTTGAGAACCTACTCGAATGTTGTAATGTTACTTGTATATCAGGGTGTTTTGTCATTCAGTGATGTGGCCATTGAGTTCTCCAAGGAGGAGTGGGAATGCCTGGACCTTGCCCAGAGGGGACTCTACAGGGACGTGATGTTGGAGAACTACAACAATCTGGTCCCTGTAGGTAAGAATATTTTTGTATCAGAATTCATAGGACATCCTCAAGGTTCTTTTTCAGTCTGTCTTGAAGGAATGTCTGCTTTGTGTGAATGAGTAATGTATATCAGATTTCAAAAATCATTTTGAGTTTCTTCATTTAAAAGCACATTATCATGACATTTCATCTCGCCTTTGAACTTCCCATTTCTGGTGTTGATGGGTTTCCTTCATCTAGATCAGTGGTAAATTGAGAAATTTTGTAGGATGTGATATTGTGGGCCATATCTTAAAGTACAATTACCAACCTTTCATTTTGAATCAGTAGTAGCTAAGTGGAATGAGCATATGAAAGTTGAAACAGCATGTCTTTTTTTCTCAAAAAATGGAGGCCAGGAAGGTAAATCAGTTTCTGTCTGAGGATTGGTACCAGTGGGAAGGAGGAATATAAGTAAATGGTTTAGGTGGATGAATATGGTGGAAAAATTATATACTCATGTATGAAAATGGAAAAATGAGACATGTTGAAATTATTCTTAGAGTGGGGAAGTAAGTAAAAGAATGATGGGGTGAATTTATCTAAGATATGTTGTAATAGTTTTATAAGTATCACAATGTACTCCCAATACAATATAATATGAAAATAATTTTTTAAAAAAATCCACTTCCAAAAAATAGAAAATGAAATTTGAAATGCTTCCTAAATATTATAAAGAACCTCTCAGAAAAAAAAAATCTTTTGGTGGAATAAACTTCTAGAGTGTTCTTTTAGGTTCTTTCTTTCTACTGAACACAGTGCTTGGTTAGAAATCCCAGAACATCCTACAGAAACCCTACTAAAACCCACATTCCTTTTTCTACTATGTAGATTTCACTGTCTCTAAACCAGACCTAGACACCTGTCTGGAGCAAAGAAAAGACCTGTGGAAAGGGAAGAAAGAGGAGACAGAAGAAAAGCATCCATGTAGGTAGGAATGAATGAAGCAGTGAGTGCAGGTCAGACAGATGTCCAATGGATCTGAAAAATGTGATTAGTGTATCACTGTTACCCTGGAAATGATTTTTGAGGAGCATGTGTATATTTCTCTTCCTGTCCCAGAGGAAAATCTCTTTCTTTGTGCTTATTATATTCTTAAATCTTCTGAAGCTTTTGTTGCTCCTCTTGTGGTCTTATAGGACACTCATAGCAAGAACTAATGTCCTCCCCCATACCTGTGAGCACCTGCATGATCTCACTGTTGTACTGCATTTGCATGTCTAGGCACTCAGGGCATTTTCAGAATTCCTCTATGGTAAAATATTTTAATATATCAATAACATAAACAGTTTTCTCCACCTACCTAAAATGGTTAAAAATGGGGAGGATGAGAATCCGCAGCCAGAAAAAGAGTGTATTTGAATTTGCATGAAGTACAATATGTGTTGTTTGTCATATCACCATTGAAAAACATTTATACAATTAATTTATGCTACTAATTAATTTCTTTAAAAAGAACAGGATTTCCCATGGTAAATTGCATTGTATAATTGAGTAAAACAAAAAATTTAACTTTCTATTAGAGAATGAATGAAATAATATTCATACATTTCTAGCTTTATTGAAATATTACTGATGTACAGTAACCTGCACATATGGGAAGTAAACAATTTGATGAGTTTTGAAATATACAAGCAAAACAGGGAATATTACTTTTAGCAACTATTGCTTCAGTATTAATTATTTTATTAATTATAAAAGCAATTATTTTTTATGTTACTTGGGATTAAACTCAGGGCTTGGCACTTTATAGGCAGGCACACTACCATGTAAGCAGCATTACCAGCCTCACAGTCACATTTCCCTATTGTTTCTGCATTTGCTGACAGGAATTCTTATTGTTCAATAATTTGGTCATCTTCCCCATTTATTAATTGTGTCACTCACTAATTTTGGTTTGGATTCATAGATACCTTTTTTTGTGCTAAAATCTAAACTATTGTTATTTAGGTTGTCACTCAAATTAGTGCACTTGGCAATGAGAAGCTCATTGTAGATGATTCATGTATTCCTTCACTTGCATCCTTTTGGCGTGCACTTGTCATGTACTTAAATACCTCCATCCATTTCTTTTAATTGTGTATCTACTGTATTCATAAGAACTTATGCACATGTCTGGATAGCATTAGGCTAGATGACTTGTAATAATAAACTGAGCAACAGTGTCTTAAAAACACATCTCAATGTCATTTATTAAAATTATTCTCAGAGTGTTGTGAATTTTGCAGATGTTTTCTTACCACAGAAGCCATACTACTGATTCTCAATTCTCATGGGTAGAGACAACCTTCAAAATTGTTGTTACAGAGCAGGACATCTTTTTTAATTCAAGAAGTGTTAATGTTTAGGATTTTAAGTGTTAACTTTTCTCTTATTCATATTTTGGAATTTCTGTTCTTGTATTTCTTTTCTTAGCATTGGTACACTTGCATTAGTAAACTATACTTTGGGATTTTACATATATTATGAATTAGGAGAATATTTTCACGATTTTGCAACTAAAGAAAATGTGAGCTGAAATTAAAATGTGAACCTGCCATATTTTGTAACCAATAAAATTATGTTTTTTCACATAACTTCTATGCATATTTTGGTCATAAGTTCTGTATCTTTTCTTATTATATTTTCTTATTATTATAAAATTCTGTCTTGGTGAGGAATTATCAAATTTTTCTTAAATTTTACCATATATTTAATGATAAATCTACCTTCTCTTTTGTGAAAGAAGTTTTTTTGTGATTTGCAGTTATCTGTTGAAAATCTATCTAATGTATACTTTTGTTTTTATTTAATTCATATGCTCATTAGGAGTGTACATACAGAAGAAAAATCACATTTTCTTACAGCATTCATTTTTACTTTCTATTTTTCTTGTCACAATATACCCCAAGAACAACAATAATATGATAATAAAAGTTTTAAGAAAAGACAAAAAAGTTTTTACCATCTATGTGGCTTTAAAATATAATTAAATATATTTTATTGTATGTCTCTTTGTGTTCATGGTCACTGTTTATTGCATTGTTTAATTATTATGTATCTATCTTACTCAATTTTAAAATTTTTCATCCAGTGTAACTTATCCTATTCTTAATCTTCAGTGATCTCTGCTCATGTCTTTTCACTGTTTGGATCATATTGCTTATGTTCTCAATTTCCTGACTTCTCATTTGTCCTTGCTCTTGTTTATCCCAGTGATTCTATGACATGGTTATTTGAATTATGCAGGTAATTCTTGAATCTTCATTTCTTACAGTTGCTTTCTGGAATTTATGTATCTATTTCAATTGGGTCATATCTCCCACTTTGTTGTATGCTTGATTAGATATGGTTGAGGTTTTGGCATTTTCAAAACTGTTACTTGAATGGTGGGTTGGAAGAAATGGATAAGGGAGAGTAACAGGAGATGGAACTGATCAAAAATAAAGTATATTTACATCTGGGAAACATCAAGAACCACACTTCTTTGATTTTTTTAGTATACATTTATTGTACAGGGGGTTCAATATGACAATTCCAAATAGGGTTACAATGTACATTGGTTAGATTGTCCCCTACATCTTCCCCTACCACTTCCCTGCCCCAGTTAAAGCAATTGCAAGAGGTTTTTCATTCTGTTTCATGTGTATGTGAATTCCATTAACCATATTCCCTCACCTTCATCTTCTCTATTCAGCCTTTCCCCTCCCACACGTATACCCCCCCACAGACACTTCATCTATTATAAAATTTTGCCTTCATTACTGAACACAAAATCTATATTCAGAAGGGTTTCTCATTGTATCCCCACTGTGAGTATATTTTACTTCAGTCATTTCAACCCTTTCTGTTACTATCCCTTAACCCTTCCCTCCCACCCCCCATTACTCAACAGCTTCCAATACATATAGCTGTATCTTCTACCTACACAGATGTAATGTATTTTGATATTGTTGATTCTCTGCCATTTTTCTTCCTTTATGTCCTTCCCTGAGCTCAGTTTTTGTTGTTCTACTATTACAAACATGTTCTACATATGTTTGTACATGATCATGTTTTGTTTTGTGCATATGTTCGTCTTTTGGATCTAACTTCCATAAATGAGAAAAAATACATGGTCCTTCTCTTTCTGAGTCTGGCTTACTTCACTTATCCTGATGTCCTCCAATTGCATCCACTTCACTTTAAGCAACATGGTTTCATTCTAAATAAATTTCATAAAATTCAATTGTATACACACACCCACATGCACATTTTCTTGATCCATCCATCAGTTGTAGGGCATCTGGGTTGTTTGCATACCTTCACTATTATGAACAGTGTTGCCATAAACATCAGGGAGCAAGTGTCTCTATTGTATCCTGATGTAAGTTCCTTCAGGTACATGCCCAGGAGTGGTATCACTGGATCATAGAGTAGTGCCATCATTAGCTTTTTAAGAAATTTCCACACTGCTTTCCATAATGCTTATACTAATTTGCATTTCCACCAAGAGTGTATAAGGTTTCTTTATTCACTGCATCCTTACCATCATTTGTTTGTTTTTGCTCTTGAAAATGGCCATTCTACTGGGGTGTAATGAAATATTACTATAGTTTCTATTTTCATTTCTTTTTACCCAGGGAAGGCGAACACTCTTGCATGTATTTATTCATATTTTTGTTGGAAAATTCCATATTCAATTCATGTGCCATTTCTTCATTGGAACCTTGAGTTTAGAGGGCTTGAGTTTTTTTAGCTCCCTGTAGACTGTTGATATTAGGCTCTAATGGGTGGAATAGCTTGCAAATTTTTTCTCCCATTCTGTGAGCAGTCTCTTAAATCTAGTAATTGTTTCTTTTTCTGTGCAGGGGCTTTTTAGTTTGGTGCAGTCTCCTTTGTTCATTCTTTTTCTTACATGCTGAGCCACTGGTATTCTACTTAGAAAGCCATTGCTTATGTGTATATGTTCCAATGTATTTCCTACTATGTCCTGAAGTTGTTTTAAAGTTTCAGGCATTATATAAAGGTCTTTGATCCACATTGAGTTGGTATTGGTACAACATGAAAGTCAGGGATCTAGTTTCAGTTTTCTACACCTGGACATCTAATTTTCCAGCAATGTTTCTTAAAGAAGCTATTTTTTGCCAATTTGTGTTTTGGGTTCTTGGTCAAAATTCAGTTTACTGTAGCTGTAGGGATTTATGCCTGGGTCTTGTATTCTGAGCCATTGATCTTTGTGTCTGTTTTTGTGCCAATACCATGCTATTTTTATTTTTATGGCTCTGTACTATAGTTTGAAATCAGGTATTGTTATACCTCCTGCATTGGACTTTTTGTTCAGAATTACTTTGGCTCTTCAAGGTCTTCTGTGTTTCCATATGAATTTTAGGATTGCTTTTTCTATCTCTGTGAAGATACAGGTTGATTGAATATGTAGATTCCTTTTGGTACTAGGGCCATTTCCTCAATATTTCTTCTGCTGATTTGATACCATTGGAGATCTTTCCATGCTCAGACATCTTCCTTGATGTCTCTCTTTCATGATTTATACTTTTCATTGAAAAGTCCTTTGTTTTCTTCACTAAATTTATTCCTATGCATTTTAATTTACTGTAAATGGGATTGTTTCCCTGAATTTTAACTCAGTCTGTTCATGGATGGTACATAGAAAGGCTACAGATTTTTGGATATTAATTTTGTATATTGCTACTTTATCAAAAGTATGATTTGTAGGAGTTTTTGGTGGAGATTTTAGGGTCTTTTACTTAAAGGATCATGTAATCTGGAAATTAAGATAATTTGACTTATTCCTTCCCTATTTGAATACCAAACTGCTCTTGTCTTGCTCTAGATAGGAACTCCAAAATTATATTGAATAAGGTGGGCAAAAATGGACATCCTTGTGTCATTCCTGATTTTAGCAAGAGTGTTTTCAGCTGTTATCCACTAATTATAATGTTGGATAT